CAAAGGGATCAGGTATCAGGCATCAAAGAACAAAAAATCTTATCATTGTGATGAGGGGGAGTGCAGATTTGGGACCCAAAGCCCATCTGTAGGCAACTGGACAACCCCTTACAGAAGGGTTGCAGGGAGGAGATGAGCCAGTCAGGGTGTAGCGTAGCACCAATGAAACATACAACTTTCCTCTAGTTCTTTAATGCTTCCTCTTGCCCCCCCAAACCCCACTAACAAGATCCCAATTCTAACCTTACAATCTGGCTAGACCAGAGGATGTACACTGGTACAGATAGGAACTAGAAACACAGGGAATCCAGTACAGATGATCCCTTCAGGACTATTGGTGAGAGTGGCAATACTAGATGGGTGGAGGGAAGGAGGGGTAGAAAGGGGGAACTGATTACAAGGATCTACATACAGTATAACCTTTTCCCTGGGGACGGACAACAGAAAAGTGGGTGACGGGAGACGTTGGACAGTGTAAGACATGACAAAATAATAATAATTTATAAATTATGAAGGGGTGGCGGGGAGGGAGGGGGAAAAATGAGGAGCTGATACCAGGGCTCAAGTAGAAAGCAAATTTTTTGAGAATGATGATAGCAACAAATGTACAAATGTGCTTGACACAATGTATGTATGTATGGATTGTGATAGGAGTTGTATGAGCCCCCAATAAAATGATTAAAAAAACCAACAACATAGCTTTGGAAAAAAGAAAAAGAAAGTAACCAGAAACTTGGTGACAAGGAGATTTGAAGAAGAGGCGTATGAACAATTCAAAGATGTGAAAATATTTATGTCTCCTGTGAGTGCTCATCAAAAGGTTACCTTGAAAAAAGAAAGGTTCAACAATCAAGTGAATAGGATGATAAATTTTGTGTAAACACCTTACCCTCTTTCTGTAGCCCTCTTATCATTGCCCAGTGGCCATGGTGGCAGAAATAGAGGTTATTCATGGGCTCAGCAACACGAACTTCCACTCACCAAGTCCAAGTGCTGAGTGCCCCATCTATCAGCTGCAGAGGCCAAACACTGAGCCTAAGATATGGAATTATTGCTGAGATGACAGCCAGCAACCTGGTAGCAGGATGATTATATTATGCAAGACCACTTCCATAATGGAAAGGACAGCGTTTTGTTCTTCATGGAGTAGACATTTAGTCTGGATTTGCCTTCCCTACACAAAATGCTTCTATCCAAACTACTATTCACCGACTTATAGAATGTCTTATCTATTGTCATGGCATCCCACAAAGCATTGCCCCAGATCAAGGGACTCACTTTCACAGTAAATGAAGTATGGCAGTTGACCCATGCTCATGGAGTCCACTGATCTTACCATGTTCCCATCCTTCTGAAGCAGCTGGCTTGAAAGAATGACGGAAGGAACTTCTAATGACACAATTACAGAGCCAGCTAGGGAGCAATACCTTGTAGGGCTGGGGAAAGGCTCTCAGGGGGCTTTGTTATGCTGTTTCTCCAATAGCCGAGGGGTAGAAAATGAAATGACACCACTCACTATTTACTCCTAATGACCCACGAGCAACATGTTTGCTTCTTTTCCTTGTGCCCTTCTGCCCCTCAAGTCTGGAATTCTTAGTTCCAAAGGGCAAAATACTCCCACCTGTGCTCCACTGCACTGCAAGGAAAAAATGCTTTCTGGCATTTTGGGCTCCTTGTGGTTTTGGATCAATAGGCAAAGAAGCGAGTTACTATATTGAGTGGCGTAGTTGATCCTGATTACCGAGGGGAAATTGGATGGATATTACACAATGGAGGTAAAAAAGAATATGTCTGAAATCTAGATTCCTTTGTCTCTTAGTAGTACCAGTGATTAAAGTCAATGAACAAAACTATAACTCAATTTCAATATGACTATTCATGGCTCACACCCTTCCGGATTCAAAGTTTGAGTCACCCCACAGGCACAGAACTACAACAAGCTGAGGTGATTGCAAAGGGCACAGGCAACACGGAATGGGCAGTGGAAGAAGGTAGCTCTAAATATGAACAGGTGGTTAGTTGTAGAAATGAGGGCTAAAATTGTTATAACTTTCTTGTATCAAAAACTTTCGTTTTCTCCACTTACATAATCTAAGATGTAAATGGGGCCAGTGCATTTATTATACATGCAACAGTTGTGTCACATTAGGTGTAACTATATCATGTGAGGTGTGCCGTGCTAAATTGACAAAGAGTTAAGATTCTAACAATTTGGCTGAGCCATGGTCCTCTGGTTTGCTACCTATGATGAGACCTGATATAATGTGAGCACTTGCAGATGTGATCTGCTATGAACAGCCAGTCAGTTGAAAGGGAGTTTTCTTAGGATTGTGGTCTGTTATCCCCCTACCCAAAAAACCCCCAAATTTTTAAAAGCTCTGTATTTAAATTTTTTTTACAAAACACCCTCATCACCTTCAAAGTATTCTCCATTACAAGATGGAGGTTGGGAGTACGATGGATCTCTGCTTCATGGCAATCATGCAGCCGGAGGGCAGACAGGGCCACATCTCAAGCTGTGTACTACAGGTTGGTAATTATAATGGCCTATATATGTTTAGTTCATTTAGGTAACCTCTCTAGAGGCCTTGGACACTCTTGTCCTCTTTGGGTCAAGAAAGCTAGCTTAATTACAAATTCTTAGAGGCAACTGTCACCACATAATACACTTTATTAAACTGTACTTTTATACTTTACAATGAGTGAAAAAACTTAAAAAACCTTTGTTGTACGCAGAATGAAGCAAGCACAGGTTTCTAAGGACTGGGGGTGGGGGGAGAGGATAATGTATGATACCAACACTTGCAGCTCTCTCTACTAAACTCTCTTAAATTAACTCATTTACTTCTTGTCACTGTCCCTTTTTAAATGATTTTATTGGGGGCTTTTACAACAATCCACACATCAATTCTATCAAGCATATTTGTACATATGTTGCCATCATTATTTTTTAAACATTTACTTTCTTTTTGAGCCCCTGGTATCAGCTCCTCCAACCCACCCGTCTTGTGACCCATTATTATATTTTCATCTTACACTGACCAGTCTCCCTTCTCCCAGTTTCTGTCCATCCCCGTGTGTGGTTGTCAGTCACTGCAACTGTTTCTCCCTTCCTTTCCTCCTCTCCCCACCTATCCCCTGTCCCCCTGGTATCACTACTCCCATTCCTGTTCCTGGATTACATGTCATGATCTCTTATCTGTTCCTGTGTACATGCTCTAGTCTAGCCTGTAGACAAGTTTGTGGAAAAAAATGGGATTAAAACAAAATTTTTCCCACAAACTTTTTGAAGCCCTCTTGTATATGCCATTATAACTCATTTGAAAACCAGAGCTTAGAGGACTCCTAAATTTTAACAACAACAATTTCTGAGTCTATGGCTGACTGTTGAACTACATGTCTTAGAAAGAGTGAGATGACAGAGCTAGATAAGGAGGACTGGAGGATGTAAGAAAGGAGGTTACGATGCTCTAAGAGAAATCCAGGCTTAACGTCTAAGGAGCAGAACTAGGAAGAAAACTGAGAACGAGTGATAGTATTAGACATTTATCTACTAACGCTAATCCTCTAACTCTGTAATATATCATACTTTTCTAAAGAGGATTCAGGTTCCAGCCTGATTAAATTGCAAACCAATGAGAATAGTAGGAGATGTGGGAACACTGGTTTGGGCATCACTTACTAAGAATGTGCCTTACAGAGGACTACTTACTAATAATAGGGTGGCTGGTGGTGGTGGTGTGAGGAACCCCGTCAAGCTAGTTCTGACTCCGTCATCCTATTTAGAACCCAATGAAACCCTGTGCTGTCCTTACAATCGTTAGGTCTGAGGCCATTGCTGCAGCTACTGGATCAGACAGCATTCTTGAGGTGCAACACACACAATGTTATAAAGGCAAAGGAACCTAACGGGAACATCAAAGAGTTAAAAAAAAAAAAAGGAAAGATAATGAATTTTTCCATGAAGTTTTTGACGCTCTCACATATCTATTACTACCAGACTTATTAATGGAACAAAAATGTACCCTTTTGAGTATCAAAGATTGAATTACTCATACATGAATGTACATGACAGAATTAAATGTGAGTAAGTTAGGTGCAACTTAATGTTTCATTCATCATTTAAAGACAAAATAAGTCACCACAAAAACCTTATTATTTAAAATATTTTATTAAAAATCTAAACCATATTAAAATTTAAATAACTATTTATAGAATTCAATAATATATTTCAACAAGTTGAAAAGTAAAATAAATCACTTCAATCAGTTTAATCAATTTTCTAAGTGTAATAATGTACAAAATCTTTTGCTGCAAAAAATAAACAACAGCGAAAGTAAAATATTTAAGTTAATGTAAGATGTTTAACCAAAAGGGTCTAATGCTGAATTAAATGTTATCTGGTAGAGTCTTATGTTCTTAGTAGATAATTTAAAACAATGAAAGAAAATTCAATTTCATCAAATTGACAATTGGTCATTTTTTTTGGTCGGCTATGAATAAAATAATTGGAAAACTTGTTTTATCCAATAAGCCAGCGGTATGAACTCGACAAGAAAGGACCTGTCTGGTTTTTGCAAATCAGTTCTCTTCTGTTGAAAGAAATGGGCTTTCCATACTCACTTCTTTTTCATTTGTGACATAATATCTAACAAATAAGCTTTTGCATCTAACTTCTTGGTAGTCTAGCTCCCCTAAAGGGCTATCTCTTCCACGATGTCTTCACACAGCCATTTATAGGTATAATCTTTGGAACACTCTATTGTTTCGAAAAGATGTTTGAAGTCCTCAGGGTACATGTTAATTGTTTTTACATTTTTATGTTTTCTGATTTGCATTAATATATCCACTGCATCAACAGGACTTATTGAACTGCAAAAGAAATATGAAGTAAATCTGCTTATTATTTTAAAATAACAACTACATAATTTAAAATATATCATTTATCTTATTCAGTGCTAACACTTACATGTATTATGTGCAACTTCTTAAAGTTTTTCAAGGATAATCTATCATGAAAATGGCATATTTAGACTTTAACACATTCTAATAATAAGTTTACAAATTTCCAGCCAAAAGTTACGTATTAAACAATTATTCTGCCTATTTTATTCATCCTTTCACTCTTCTAGAAAAATAGTATTAACTCAACTTAGGTTTATTTAAAATCTTTTAAGTTCAATAATTAGAAACAGTGTAAACTGTGGCCATTTTCAAGAAAGGAACTATGTACCTGGCAAGAAACCATCAAGATAGCCTCTGACAGCAAGAATAACCCCGTAATAAAATAGGCCCACACAAACTTCCAGTATTTTCTAACTTTGCATGCAATCTAGGTGACAAGTGTAAGCGTGCTTTCCAGCCACGGAAATCGCCAAGGAAAACTTCAACACTTTGTACTACGCTTACCACATTCATTTCCAAATTTCCTATTAGCTTTATATTTTATTCAAAGTTGCCACTGCCGCAGGTAGCATAATAAAGTAGATTAAACAAGCAAGTCCTCTAGAGTGACATATGAATTGATAATCTAATTCATGAAAATGTGATTTCTAACATGTTGTGCTTCCCTGACAATACTTGGGAGTGATCATGGGCTGCAGCTAAGTTGGAATGTGCAACTTACATTTATAAATATCTGTAAACAAAATGTTCAATTTACAAGGGGGTTAAGCATGTTACACTGAGGGGATTGCAATGGATGAAATAAACCAAGGTGTGTGTGAATTGTTTTTAAGAAAAAGTTCAACTTATAACCTTGTATATCCCCAGTCCTATACTTATAATTTTTATAAATCTTACATAGAAACACGGAATGTGGTCTAGGGCAAGACAACCAGCCTGGAATCACGACTGGTATGTCTCTCCTACTTTGGTTTAGACAGGCAACATGAAGGCAGATGGTGGTATGTCTACAGGAGCACGGACTCTCTTTACCCGAGACAGTGACAAGTTGCTAGTTCTTCGTTAGCCTTGGTTCTATATCCCAATAAAGATAAAACAATCGTGACAGAGATGTGGGTGAAGGGAGACAATGGAGAGTGTTAGACATGGAATAACAACAATAATATGTGACTGATCAAAGATTCACAAGGGTGGGAGGGTG